ACACGAAAAAATAAATGCTGGAAATGAACCAAAGGAAAAAGAAGAGAAATTAAATAGAAGTGGGTATCAAACATGGTAGCCATTGGTGCTCCCTCAAGCCTAAGATATTGCTTCTTCATTTATCAAAAAATTCCCATCACTATTTTTGAAAATTATTTGTGAAGAAGAGAATTTGGCACAAAAGTATGATTGCCTTCTTGACATGGCACTTTTGTTATCAGTTTAGCTAAACTAGAACTACATTCATTCTTGCTCTATTGTTGCAGAATGAAAAGACAACAACAAACCAACATAGTAAGAGAAGCAAGAGGCAACAATATAGAGAGTAGTAATTAGTAGCAGTCGTCTAAAGAAAATCAGAATTATATAAAACTAACTAAATTAAGGTTGGGGTTGATAAGAGAGGATTCTTCTAAAGACAGTCAAGTAGGTATGCAATTAGATATGTAAGTGTAGAAGGGAGAAACAAGGGAGATTTCCAGTAGATGTTTAGAATCAAGTTTTCATTTTCAGGCTTGAAAAGAATTTGAACTTTATTTTATTAATCCAATAATATTCTGCTCCCACTTCCCAAAATAATATATACCAACGTAATTGTCACATACACACTATTACAATAATGGCAGAAAAAAAAATAGCATCAAGAGAGGATACAAATGAGAGAGCCTTCTAATTGTTGATGTGTCAAAATAGATGAAGTCGTTATTTATTCAAAGAATATCTAAGTCTGCATAAAGATTAATTAGAGAGTCAAAAGGCCAATTAAACGTATTACGCACCCCTATAACTTCTAGACAGTTATTACATACTTTTAATTTTAAGATATTTCTAAACTTATTCAAAGAAATGCTTAAAGACTTATTTTAATAGGAAAGGCACAGCCAGTTCTCCTTCCATAATTAAAGAGATGAACCAAAAATGATTTACAATTAAATAGAAAATGTAATCAATTTAATAAAATACATATAGAATAAAATGCCAATTGTTTCCTTTTTCTAGATGATCACATGCCTTATCTTTTGCAAATCTTCATTGCTAAATATCCAAACATTCAAAAAAAATTTTTCCAACTAGCATCATAGAGACCATTCCCAAACTCAGTTTAAAGAACTAACCAAAAATAATAATAATAATAACGAAAACTAAGAAAAAACAAGCAATCGACATACAGTTTCAAAGACAAAATTCATTAAGAAATTGCTTAGTGCGAAAGGTTTGACACATATTCAAGGGGAAAAAAAAAATCGAAACCAGAATACCAGCAATTGATCAGAGAAAAAAAAATGCTGTGTTTATTACTGTCTCGCAATTACAAGACTATTTTCAATCCTACTCTGCTTGCCTCTCCTTTCCTTCTTCCGTTCTGTGCCTCCTCTCTCCTTTCTTTCTCTCTTTCTGCCTTTTTTCTGAATTTTTTTCCTCCTCTCGAATGAATTTTCATTTGGTCGGAGCCCCCTTTTAACACAAGAAAGAAATGTGAACCAAATCCTTCACGCCAATCTAAAATCCAAATTGCAGACAAAAATCCAATCCTATTCATAATTGGAATCCTAAAATGCAACTAATTCTTCACACATCTTTCCTGTTTAAAGGCTAGATTCATACGCTTGTGGATTATAATTCTGATTCCAAATCAAATTCGAACTCTTTTTGGCTTGCGGCTCCTCTCCGATTCCTTGGACTAACAAACTTCAAAAAACCCTCATTTTCTGCCGTGATTCAACCGAACTGAAGTGGAATTTCTACAACCAATTGAGAGAGAAATTTGCGAAGGAAATCGGGTGGCAGCAGGCTTGGGAAGCATCAGAACGTGAGAAATATAAGAGGGTATGGGACCAACAATCTGTTGGTTCGAGTAAAAAAAGTTTGGTTTCAAATTTTGAGTTCGAGTCTTGTAAATAGAAAAACAGGTGCTGGGAGACCTTTTCCTATATGGGGTCCGACCAATTCGATTTCGAATTAGTCAAAACTCAATATAGTTTCTGGATACTGAAAAGTTAGTACCAAAAAAATAAGAGGGTATAGGCAACTGCCCTCAAAACGATATCGTTCATAAATTCATCTTCTGTGCATGCATCCATTTAGTCCCTTGACTTCTTATTTCATCAATTTAGTCCGGCAATTAAAAGCTTTGAAGCTTACCTGTTTGCCACTGAGTCCAATTTATTTTTCTTTTATGCAATTAATTTCCATTTTGTCATTGAAAACATTAAATTTTATGGGAAATTAATTTTGATAGAAGCTTTAGAATTTTTAAAAGATACTTTGTCAATATTTGATTATGACATCAACCTTTCTCATTTTTGAGATTTTGGTAAGAGAATGCTTAATGGAATCAATCATGTGCGGACTATACTTCATTTTTTTTTCTTTTGTTTTGTCAAAATGAATTTAGGGAATATTGTTTTTCAGTTTATATAAGTAAAAAACAATATTGAAATTACAACAGTGTTACTTTTTACCTAGAATTCAATTGAAGGAATTGAACCATTTTATAGATGACTGAACTTGTGTTTGGGCAATATGTCTAGTGTCTAGGGTCCAATGTCCAATATTAACATATGTTTAGCTTTGCGAAAGAGTGAATATCATGACCCAAAAGATGGATTTTTAAGTAAGTGGATACTAATTTAACATATTTTTTTATTGATATTAGTTTAAACATACTTTTTTTTTGGACAGTCATATGTTCTTGAACTAGCTTTTACCTTGAAACAAATCCAACTTTAAATGATTTTAAGGAATCATCCCTCATATTAGTTTGGTGTATTCAAGTAGATTAATTTTTGGATGTTGGCTTCAATACTTCAACTCTAAATCTGATTTACAAAACAATACTTATTTATTAGTGGATTCAACTCTTGAAATTGTTTAGGCATAATTATTTAGTAATATCAATAATATAATTCTTAATTAAACAGTAATACTACTAATTATAAAAGTAACATTCATTATTATTACATGAACTGAAATATCAGTACATGGATATAAGTTCAACCACTAAATATCAAGGAAAATAAAAACGACCCATGTTCTACATCGGAGCTTAAAAGCTCAACATTATTAATACGAAAATGCTATATATGTATAATATTTTTAAATATAATAGTGTCTATAATATAACATGACTTTTTGTGATTACTTTTCTAATTTGAGAACTCGAGTGAATTAATATATATTCACAAGTTCAATGTCAAGTCATGTATATTTTAAAAACTATTATGCTTAAAAACATTATACGTATGACATTACCGTTTATTAGTATAGATGTATAATAAGTAGCTAGGAGTCGTCTCTTACCCTTCTTGACAATTAGTTATTGGCGAGGGGGCGGGGCCTTGGGGCACGGCGCCTTGGGGGACGGCGCCTTGCCACATGCATCTATGGCCAGGGTGATATTAAATAAAGGAACAATAGCAGAGACCTGTGTGAGGCAATTTTTTGCCGCCTGCTCTCCAAGTATGGCCTCAATTTGGAGGAACTGGCCAACTCCGCTGCAACACGAAGCACTAGGTACAACTTTTCCCAACGGTCCAACGCATAAGACCAAATTGTTCACTGGACATGTTAAAATATTTAGTGTAGAAGCAATGCTAGCAGAAAGAAGCAACCCGAGCAATAGGAGGAGCGGCATTGCCATTGTCTTCTTCAGGGAACTCATTTTCTTCGGGAGTGTGAGTATTGGATGGAGATGTTTCGAGTTTTGTTTATGTTCGATGCTTGAAGTTGAGGGCCGGGGCAAGGTCCTTTTTATAGAGATGGCAAAGAGATCAAAGATACATGGGTTGAGAAAATGTCAAACAATTTAATTGAATGTGACTCAATTCATCAATAAACATTTTGTTTCCAACTTGCATCTGCTTTTTGTGATTTTTGGTCCCAAGCCACCAACTTTATGGGACAATTACTATATATATATATATCATCAAATTTATTGCCAATGAAGTTTTATCTAGGACTATTAATGTGGCCTGATACTAGAGTTTTTTTGGTATATTAGATGATGAGTTATATAATATAAAAAAAATCCTTTAATTTTTTTTTTTCATTTTTAATTTGAAATTTTAAGTTTTTAATTTGAAATTTTAAGTTTTTAATTACTTGAGATATTTTCTTAGGAGTGTTTAGTAGTAGAGCTGTTTCTATTATTTATAGCCAAAAATTAATTTAGGACTTAGTCATTCAACTTTACATTAAAACAACAATCAAGTTTTATAAACTTAAAATTTTCAAGAAATTCAAGGTTGAAACTCAGCATGCATAAATTAATTTAGGTAGAGCTTATTCCGTTAATTTCAAAACTCCTATACTGTCCTAAATCAAGAACTAAGATGGTCCAAGGTGCTTATATCAACTTAAACATTGTGAAGCTATTGCATATTTGCATAGAGAAGAGGAAAAAGAATTTGAACTTTATTTCGTTCGCTAAACCATTGCAGAAGTATTTAAAGGTAGTTAGGTTTACCGCCATTATGTGGGAGAATGAAATTCTTACCTTAGGTTAGCACTCATTCACAAATAATTAATTTACATAATGATTTCTTCACAAACAATTGTTATACAATAGTTTCTCACAATTACGTGACATAAAAAAAAAAATAGATATATGTTGACTCGCTCAAACAAACCTAAAATGTGAGAAAAAAAAAATCATTACGTTGACACAATTACGTGACATATATATATATATATATTACCTAATTCTTTTGCTATTAGTATGAACTGAAGGGTGCATTTGGTTCACCCTTCCCATGCAATTTTTCCCTGGGGAGCCAAGCCAACTTTTAAGTTGGCTTTTTGGGTTCCAATATTAAAAAATGTATCTGGAAAGTGTTATAAATTTGTAA